TATAGTTAAAAATAACAAAAAAGCCAAACTAGAAAAATCTTTCTTTATAAGACACTCACATCTCAGTCACAGCTGCTATGGATTGTTGTTGATCTAAAATCATAGCCTCAGAGACTGTCCACTTTATATTCTAAAGAACTATCACATAAACTCAACATTTTATTACATTCCTATTAGCAAGATGGAATAAATCCTGTCATCTCCATTTTCCAGATGTGAAAACTGAGTTTTCTGTGTGTGATTCACACACATGAACTAGTCTTCTTTTGAGAGGGTAGCACTTCTTTTCCCCTTTTGTTACCTAGTAGTCATGACTTTGCTAAGGTCAGCTGCCACACATGGCTAGACATGTTTCAGACTATCTTTTGTTATTTATTATCATGATTTAAAAAGTAATGCATGATCATTGCACAACACTTTGAAAATACAGAAAAGCAAAAAGATATCAAAGAGAATAGTTAACCAATTACTGTAACTTTTCAGACTTTTTCTTTGCAAATTTTAAAATAGTGATCATGCTTTATATACAATTACATAAATTTAATGTTACACTAAAAGTATTTTCCCATTAGTTTTTAAAGAATCTTAACCCTTCCTCAACAAAATATTAGCAACCCAAATCCAACAATACATTAAAAGGATCGTACACCATAATCAAGTGGGATTTATTCCAGGGATGCAAGGATGGTTCAACATCCACAAATTAATCAATGATTACATAACATTGTATCCAACAAAATGAAGGATAAAAGTCACATGATCATCTCAAAAGATGCAGAAAAAACTTTTGACAAAATTCAACATCCATTTATGATAAAAACTCTCAACAAAATGCGTATAGAGGGAAGGTACCTCAACATAATAAAATCCATATATGACAAACCGGCAGTCAACATCATACCCAAGGATGAAAAGCTGAAATATTTTCCTCTAAGATTAGGAACAATTCAAGGATGCTCACTCTCACCACTTTTGTTCAACACCATATTGGAAGTCCTAGCCACAGCAATTAGGGAAAAAAAAGGAAATAAATAAAAGGCATTCAAATCTAAAAAGGAAGAAGCAAAACTATCACTATTTGCAGATGACATGATACTATATACAGAAAACTCTAAAGAACCACCAAAAAAAGAACAAATAATTCAATAAAGTCACGTGACACTAAGTCAATATACAGAAATCTGTGCATTTCTATACACTAATAACAAACTATCAGAAAGAAAAATTAAGAAAACAATCCCACTTACAATTGCATCAAAAAGAATAAAATACCTAGAAATAAACTTAACTGAGAAGGTGAAAGACCTGTACACTGAAAACTGTAAGACACTAAAGAAATAAATTGAGGATGATACAAATAAATAGAAAGATATCCTGTGCTCATGGGTTGGAAGAATTAGTATTATTAAAATGTCTATACTACCCAAAGCAATCTATAGATTCAATGCAATCTAATCAAAATTCCAATGGCATAGCTCACAGAACTACAACAAATAATTCTAAAATTTGTATGGAAACACAGAAGATCCCAAACAGCCAGAACAATCTTGAGAAAGAACAAAGCTGGAGGTATTATGATCCCTGATTTCAAACAATACTACAAAGCTACAGTAATCAAAAGAGCATAGTACTAGCACAAAAACAGGCATGAAGATCAATGGAACAGAATTGAGAGCCCAGAAATAAACCCACATACATGTGGACAATTAATTTACAACAAAGGAGTAAAGAACATACAAAGGAGAAAGGACAGTCTTCAATAAATGGAGTTGGGAAGACTGGACAGCCGCATGGAAAAGAATGAAACTACTATCTTACACTGTACACAAAAATTAACTCAAAATGGATTAAAGACTTGAATGTAAGACTTGAAACCATAAAATTCCTAGAAGAAAACATAGGTTTTTAACCTCACTGACATTGGTCTAAGTGATGTTTTTGTAGATCTGACTCCAAAGGCAACAGAAACAAAAAGAAAAATAAACCAACGGAACTAAACTAAAAAGCTTCTGCACAGCAAAAGAAACCATCATCAAAACAAAAAGGCAACCTACTGAATGGGAGAAGATATTTGTAAATCATACATCCGATAAGGGGTTAATCTCCAAAACACATAAAGAAGTCATACAACTCAACAACAAAAACAAATAAACAACCTGATTAAAAAATGAGCAGAGGATCTGAATAGACATTTTTTCCAAAGAAGACACAGAGATAGCTAACAGGCACATGAAAAGATGTTCAGTATCACTAATTATTAGGGAAATGCAAACCAAAACCACAATGAGATACCACCTCACACCTATGAGAACGGCTATTATCGAAAAGACAAGAAGTAACAAATGTTGGAGAGGATGTGGAAAAAAGGGAACCCTCATACCCTGTTGGTGGGACTGTAAATTGGTACAGCCAACATGGAAAACAGTATGAAGATTCCTCAAAAAATTAAGAACAGAACTAGCATATGACCCAGCTATTCCACTTCTGGGTATTTATCCAAAGAATGCAAAAACACTAATTCAAAAAGATATATGCACTCTATGTTCACTGCAGCATTATTTACAATGGCCAAGATATGGAAACAACCCAATGTCCAACAATGGATGAATGGATAAAGAAGATGTGGTATATATACATACAATGGAACACTATTTAGCCATAACAAAGAATGAAATCCTGCCATTTTTGACAACATGGATGGACTTTGATGGTATTATGCTAAGTGAAATAAGCCAGACAGAGAGAAATACTGTATCATTTCATATGTGGAATTAAAAAACAAACAAACAAACAAAATAAAAGAAAACTAAACTCATAGATACTGAGATCATATTAGTGGCTACCAATGGGTGAGGGGAACAGGGGGGGTGGGTTGGCAAAATGGATGAAGGGGGTCGATTGTACAGTAATGGATGGTAACTAGACTTGTGGTGGTAATCACTTCATAGAGTATACAGATGTCGAATTATAATGCTGTACACCTGAAACATAATTTTTTAAAAAGAATCTAAACCCTAAAACATAAAACTGTTTATCTCCATGGACAATGAAATTTCATAACCCTTTCCCATTTGATCCCTAAGTTCTCATTCAGATTTAACTCACAAGTGAAAAATATTAATGTTCTATAAATTATTTATTTATATTAATATTAGGAACTAATCATTAGAGAGCTATTAATAGCAATTTAGTCATTTGATTTTATTTTCTATATGTCTCCATTGGGTAATTTTATTAGAACCAAGAATTGCATCCAAAGAAACTTTTAAAAATATGTAGAGAAATAAAATCTCAATGTTTAAGAAAATTTCTAACCATTAGTCCTACTCATAAGGATTAAATTAGTGACTAGAATAAAGTAAATATATACTTTAGTATGGGTTTGCATAGTTCCTATTAGAGTATATATTTTAAGGACTCCACAACTATTGTTAAATTAAACTAATTTTTTTCTCTAACCCACCCTATAATACCTCTTTTATTTTCTAATCAAAAATGTTTGAAGGACTAGATAGATAGTGGGAAAAAGATGAAATAGCTGTGTAAGAAAAATTTCTCTGACCTTTTCTCTATCTGGTTCTTATTATTCATATTTTTAGTTTCATAAGTACTAAAATGCATATACATTTCAACAAAAGTAATGCTAAAGCAATTTAAGTGTTGTCACAGTACTTTCTCTTTTTTTCAGTTAGAAAATTTTTTATGGAAGTATAGTTACGGTACAGTATTATATAAGTTACAGGTGTACAATATAGTGATTCAAAATTTTTAAAGGTTATACTCCACTTATGGTTATTATAAAATATGTAGTACTTTTCTTTTTATCAAAAACATCTCAAATTTATCTTGTATTTTATTTATTCTTTATTTCAGCAAATATTTGGCAAGTGATATTGGTAGGAATTTCTGGGACAATTTCTTAACATCTAGTTGCTTCTCATTCCAAAGTCTTATAAGTCATGTCACTGGCCAAACACTCAGAACTTCTTTCATCCTTCTGAGAACTATAACCTCTTCTGCAGCCATGATGGACATAACTTGTGAAATAACAACACAGCCTTATTGGGTGAACAAAACTTTAGCAAATCAAACTGCTTGGTCAAAGCCTCAGGCTTTTGTCTCATACAAAAGTGGAAAAGGCCTCACTGCCCACAGATACCGCTGAGAAGGGTCTCAGTTCATTGATTTCAATCAGGCAACCACATTTACTGGGCATTCACCATGTGCAGAGCACCGTGCAAAGCACTGTGGGAAGACACACAAAAAAGAGAGAAGGGTTTCCTAGAAGGACCTTACATGTTAAAATTCAAGGCAAATACCCATAGAACCTAAAAGAAGTTAGGATCAAAATACACAAAACTAATCACAGCTAAACTAAGAGACCAGACCCATTAGGATACCCATTTAGGGCCAGTAAAATAACTGGTGTCTAGACTAGTTCTTTTTAAATTAAGAATATTTGGAAGATACACTTCCTAACTAATTAAACCAATTAAACCACTGCTGCCTCATAAAGATGCAGATGCCCTTCTCCCACTCCTGAAGAGCCTGATGAAGGGTTGAAAAGAGACGAGAGCAAAAGGTTGGTTGTGGCAGCGTATGGAGCACTGGTGTGCTCATGAGAATCAGTGCAGGTTGGTAGATTTTGTCACTCTTCTCCAGGTTCTCTAAGAGCAGCATTAGTCTCTCAGCTTATGAGGCCAATTCCCTTCCCTCCCCTAACATACACAAACATACACTGCTGCCCTCACTCCACACACATGGATGCATACATGCACACACAAATACATGCACACTCGTGCACAGACACAAACAGAGCCATTACACCTTACACAGGGCAGATGGGTAAACTGACCTAGATCAAATGATAAAGTACTATTCCATCAAAAGTGCAAGTATAGAGTAAAACAACAAATTCAATAGACATGAAAATACTGCACAACTGAAGGTATACAGAGCAAATTATCTGGATCTGAGAAGCCCAGAGGCTGTGAGCTTACCAAGAATAATTCTTCTTGCTGAAAGGTCCAGGCTTCTGGATGATGCTGTAACTAAGTGGGACCAGCTGTCCAGGAAATCTGGCGGCAGTGTGGTTAATCTGTTGCTTGATAAATCCAAGTAGGCAAGGTTCTTCAGATACGTGACCGCCTCGTTTGGCACACTGGTTATTCTGTTATTGTGCAAATCCAGGGTCCTCAGACGAGGCATGTCCCTCAGAGATGTCCAAGGGAAAGCAGCCAGAGAATTTCCATCCAAGCGCAACTCATGCAGCTGCTTTAGGTTGTAAAAGCTGCTGGTGTCAAGGCTGGCCACAGAATTATAGGTCAACCAGAGGTACTGGAGCTCCACCAGGTAGTAGAAGGCCTCCGCGGGGATCCTATGGACAACGGTCTTCTCTATGCGAAGCTTCACAGTGTCCACGGGGAAGTTTGTAGGTACCTCATTCATATCCAGGTCACTACATAGCACAGACCTAGTGTCACAGAGCAATGGAAGAAAACGTGTGTTCTGAGACTCATTTGAAAAAAATAATACTTACTTGAAACAAGCATTGAATTTTTCATTCCCTACTGGTTTGCACAAAATATCTATTCAGCCTGGCTAAACTGTTCATTAATAATTTGCCAATATCATCACCTTCTTCTAGGTTGAACTATATGAAATGGTCATTTTTGTAGGTTAAAAACAATCAAATATCAGCAATTTCATGTGATTCAACCTGAGCTCTTTAGGTGTCAGGCCTGTACAATACACATCACATCTATCCCTGTATTTAATCATCACAACAGCCTAATGAGTTGAATATTGGGTAATAGGTAAAGGCACCAGCTCTAGAGCCAGGCTGATCTTGGTTTGAATCTAAGCTCTATCACCTCCTTTGTGGCCATGGAAAGCCACTTCATCAATCTCTCATTCTCATTCTCTCACTTCACCAATCTCTCATTTTCCCACATGGCGCTGTTATGATGATTAATTGAAATGGATGGAAAATTTTACACCTTCCTGGCACATAATAAGCACCTAATGGGTATTTGCTATTATTATCTTCAATCTCATTTTTACAGATACAATAAATGAGGCCCATCAACATTAGGTAACTTCCCAGGATCACAGAGCTAGTGGTTACACAACAACCTTTCAGACCCACAACTGTCCAGCTCCAACGTGCACACTCTTAACCTCTTCAGGAAATGGCCCATTTTAAAAGAATCCCCTACTGAAGTTATAAATTGATCCTTTTAAAGAGGAGCACAAGAGAAAGGAAGAAAAAATGGAAGGAAGGTAGGAAGGGAAAGGAAACAGCAAGTGTTCATACTAGATGATTAAAATTGAGCCCTATTTTAACAATGTGACCCGTGCATTGCTTTCAGCCTAAGGAATAAACCAGGAACTGCAAGTTTATTTTTTTTTACCACTCACTAATTTAAGTGACCTTGAGCAAGTCACACTGTGGTCTTGTTTAGTGGCACGTGTAAAACAGGCATAGAAACACAAGCCTGTCCCATGTGTGGGTATAAAGTATGAAAAATCAGAAAATTTAGATTCATTTAAACCTGAAAAAAAAGACCTATTTATCTCCCATTATATATTCAGTCCCACTGGATTGCTGAAAATGAACAATAAAAAGTTTTGCAAAGCATCATCTAAATTATAATACATTACACATATAGTAAATAATAATTATAAAACGGCCATTCAGTAAAACACATCACATTAAATCAGTGAATTTTTAAAGCCAGGCTATAATGTAAAGAGAGGGAAGAGGCATAAGCAACGTACTGGTCACATCATCTCTCTTTAACTTTAGGAGAAGAGCCTATAGCATCACTGGAATTCTCTAGGTACACTTCTCACTCTTCATCTCTATTTTGAATCACAAATTTCAGTGCTACTTTATACCAGAATGATCCAGCTTCTCCTCATTAAGTCAGCGTTCCAGTGTGTTGTAATGGAGGAAAGCCTGGATTGGAAGCTAAAAGACCTAGCGTCTTTGTCAGGCAGTCACTGCAGCAACTCAATGCTGTGACCTCGGACAAGCCATTTAGTCTCTATATGATTTAGTTTATTCATTTAAAAATGACAGTGGTCAAACTAGATTATTTCTGGAGTTCTTGTCAGGCATAACATGCTATGATTTTTATAAAATCCATCAATAATGGGGCCACCATGAAGAAGGAAACATTTCTGTGATTGTTTTCTCAAAGGTAGCCTGATCTGAGTCATTAACTGCAGCATACTTTTGCCAAGTAGGTCTTTAAATTGTTACATTCTTCTCACTGTCTTTAACCACCTAGTGACTATCTCAAAGAGATACCAAGGGTTAGTAAATTTTATACAATAACAAGACAAACTACACAAAAATACGCGTTATTATTATTTATTTGTATAAAGCTGTAAGATATAAATTGAGCGATTCTTTTAACAAATTACTTTAAGAGGCTTACTGTTCACTTCAACCGAGTCACACAAAAAAATCTGATTTTGTTATTAATATCTTCTCCAAAAAAAATCAAGGTTTACTATGTTTAGCCAACAAGAATTCTATTTTGCATTTAACTTCTATCTAAAAGGATTCATGCATATTGTAAATAAATACTTATTCTCACTCCACAAGTAGATATTAAAGCAACACAGAGGTTAAGTAACTTCTGTAAGGTCCCACAGTGTCTGCAACACAAAGTGTTGACCCATTTCTTTCAAACTCCAATACCTTAAAATGAGAAATTCTGATTATGAACCTCTCTAACTTCACTCATGTGATCGTCCTTCCTACTTCCTAAGGTCTATCCAGTTGCCATGAATAATCCTCAAAATGAAATGGAAAACACTGGAAGCAAATGATCTGGGCATGTCACACACCTTCTGATCGGCCCTGCCCTCTTGTGCTTTCTATAATCAGGCTGAACTGGCCACACGCATTTCAGTGGTTTGACCTCCTGCAAGGTTCATTTTGTGAATACAAGTGCAATGAATATTTTATTAACACGGAATGTGTCTGAGAGTCTCAAATAATTTGAGGGGCTTTGAAGGAGTTAAACTGCTCAAAATGAAAACATAAAGGAGCAGGTAACCAGGATTAACACAATTAAGTTAAAGCTTATCTAGATTAAATCTTCTCTTCTCTGATTTCTGATCAACAATTTGCTTTCAAAAACAAGGCCATCTGGTTTGAGTCCTTTTCCTCAGAATCATTAGAACACTTAGTAGCAAGGAGAGAAGCATACCTTGATCTCATGCCGTCATTTCTGCCATGATAATCACAGGTGCACTGTGAAGGACACGAACAGCTCACTCTTTCCAAAAAGCCAAGCGCAATGCACAGACTTGCAAAGAGACGCATGGTTCCTTTTAGACGTTATTTGGACAAAAGGTAAAAACCAAATCCTAAGCATTCAGAAACTGGTGTGCCAAGAATACAAACGGCCATTTAGTAACAGCAGATTACACGGGATTAGATGAGATCTGTAGTTACTTAACCTTCAAGTGTATCTTGCAGGGGATCAATCAACCTAGCCTTTGAATCTGGTTTCAGCAAAGTAACACATTCTAAGGGAAATGAACATCAAACACGTCAGAAAATTTTCAATAGTTGTCCATATCTAGATTTACAAGAAAATGCCTGTTAAATCCTTTTCCTATAGAAGTAATTGTTACTACACCTGGAAGATACACATAATGCTCAAAATAATTCAATGTCTTAGCAGATGTTAGAAAACACTGTAGATTACTTGAATGTTGTAACACTACAAATTTTACTTTTTGCTTAACAGTATGAATAATACTTAGTTTTATAAAATTTAGCTTTAGAGACAGAAGCACATGACATAAAATTGATTTAGAGTAATCAATATTGCCACATACTGGTTAGCCCCCAAAACAAACTAAACAAATTCCAGTACCTGGAGTTTTTTAAGCAAAATGCTTCAATCCATCACTGTCGTGGCAGCACTAAGACTGTGGTGACAGTGCATCGTGCAGTTCTCCCAGGTCATTTCTGTGTAGTGCAGGCTCATCCCAACACATTTAGTTTTTTAGTGAAGCCATTATCTTTTTTCAAGAATATATTTTATTCCAAGTTAGTTTCCCAAGTTATGGGTAATCAAACCTTATCTGAAGCTTAACTGTCCTGTTTTTAGCATATATTAGGTTCTACCAGAAAATAAAAATTAAATTAAATATTTTAAAAACTACTTCCATACACATAACATAGAGAATCCACAGGGTCAATCAAGGATTTAGGCAACAAATATATAGGGCACTTAACCTTCTTTTGGGGTGGTTCTTTTCATCCCCTTTAAACCAAAATACTTTTTCAAAAGGAAATTAATTCTATAAATGTAAGAATATTATGGAAAATACTATTTAAAACTAATAGGATACATATAGAAACAATATTATGGAAAATACTATTTAAAACTAATAGGATACATATAGAAACAATAGTGTCAAAAGAATTTTCTCAAAATAAAATACTGTGAATTTTCAGGATATGCACAATTCATTTATTCATCTGGTATTTACTGAGCATTTACTCTGTACCAAGCATGGAACTAAGTCCTAGGGGTCCAAAGATAAATAAGACATGATCACTACGTAAAAGGAACTCACATGATAAAGAGAGGCACAGAGTACACTTGTGAGGAAGCACAGGAGAACACCAGACCAACAGTATTGGTGGGGAAAGGCTTCCTAGGGAGGGTGTACCTGAGCTGCCCCTATAGGATGCATACGAATGTATTAAGTGGAAAATCAGGAAAGAGGCATTGCAAGCAGAATAACAAAAGGAACAAAGGGATGGAAGCAATAAACAGCATGTGGTCCTTAGAGAAATACAAGCATTTCAGGTTGTTCCAGCATATGACTTGAGGCAGGAGGTTTAAAAAGAGGGGAGGAGATAAAGCTGGAGAGGTGGGCAAAGATGAAGTCATGAAAGAAGGTCTCAGATGCCCTGTCAAGGAGCCTGCACTCAGCCGGTAGGCAACAGGCAGCAGTAAACGTTAAGCCAGGGAGTGGCACAGCACACTACCATTTCAGATAGATTTCTCTGGTATCTGTGTGGAGGAAAGGCTTAACTAGAGCAAAGCAAGGAGGGAGGGAGGCTGTGGTTATAGTCTAGGTGAGCAGCCACAAGCCTGCAACCTGGACTGCCCTGTTGGTCACAGCTAAGATAATGCAACCTCCGGAAATGCCTAGGAGGGGAAAATGCCTGATTAGACGAAGGGATGAAGGAGAAGACGGGATTTAAAAGCAACCCCAAGGTTTCCCAGCATGGAGACACAGTTGATCGGTAGTGTCCCTAAGTGCATTTGCAAGCAGGGGAGGAGAAAGGAATGGCAGAGAGGTGGATAGAGCTCTGATCACCAAATGACCAAAATGGTTTCTGAATTATTAATTTCATGAATGTTATGATCTACATAGACGCAAAATATGTTAAAGAGTATAAAAAAACTGCTTAAAGATAAAACGTCAGAAATTAATAACTAAGAAGTTAGAGGGAGATACATAACCAAAGCTGGGTCTTCCCAGTCTTTTCATATACGCAAATTAATTGACTAATGTAGTATTAAAATATAATTACAATGTTGAAGTCCTTTATGCTTGAAGCAAAGTTGTCCCTTGATTATTGCTGGAAATGAGTCCAAGCCTTCGCAGATTGGAACTCTGAAACAATTGCTAAACAATATTACATATATTGCCCCTGCCATATACTGGTTCTGTGGCTTTGGGCTCAGGCCCTCATTGTGCTTTCTCTGTAAATGGCTCAGCTACAGAGGATAGGACGAGCAAAGAGCTAGTGGCACAAAGGCACGCAGAGCTCTCTGGGAACACTAAACATTTAATTTGGCCAAGGGGAAAGACAAAAGCCTGAAAAGTCCCTGTGGGACCATGTTGAAGAGGGTCATGAAGGTCCAACTGACAGATTTATACTTACTTGGCAGGTGACTGAAGATTTTTTTGAGCTGAAGATTTGGAAGATTGGAACTTTATTTTTAAAAAGTTATTCTAGTTATAAACTTGATGCATTGATTGCAGTGGAGAAAGGCAGAGGATGGGGAAATAAATTAAGAGATTATTAGGGCAGTTTACAATTCCAAATATATAGAGAGAGTTGTATATATATAGGACTAATGCCCTTATTTTCCTTTATATGCAGCCAAAGGTGCTAAAGAGACAAATTTTTAAAATAAAAGAAAATAAAGATAAGAAAATACAATATGCAAAGATACACAGCCTCACTAGCAGTTAAGGAAATATGAAATAAAATGAATTTGTTATAATATATAGCTTATAGTTTAAAAAAATTGATACAGCACTATTAGCAGGAATATGATGGGGAGAGTGAACTCATTCACTGACAGTGGCAGTGCAAATAAGTTCAATCCTTCCAGAGAGCAAGGTAGCAACAATAATACTGTTTCTATATTTTTATCTAGTAATTCTAGCCTGAGGAAACACTCAAACAGAATAATCCCACCCTCCAAAAAAAAGTATTTGTACTAAAATATTCCCAGTGGTTCATCCATAAACCTAAGAATTGGAAGCAATTTAAATGTCCACTATTGGTCCACGATTAGTACAGAACAGACTGGGTCAGGTGACCTGGGGATACACTGGGTGGCACCTAGTAGAAGTTCTTAGCTTAAATACTTACTTATGACCTTATTAATGTTACTAGCTATATTACTTATATTCAGCCTATTTTTTTACCATCTTTATTGGAGTATAATTGCTTTACATTGTTGTGCTAGTTTCTGCTGTATAACAAAGTGAATCAGCTATACGTATACTTGTATCCCCATATCCCTTCCCTCTTGCATCTCCCTCCCACCCTCCCTATCCCACCCCTCTAGGTGGTCACAAAGCACCGAGCTGATCTCCCTGTGCTATGAGGCTGCTTCCCACTAGCTATCTACCTTACGTTTGGTAGTGGATATATGTCCATGCCACTCTCTCACTTTGTCCCAGCTTACACTTCCCCCTCCCCATGTCCTCAATTCCATTCTCTACGTCTGCATCTTTATTCCTGTCCTGCCCCTACGTTCTTCAGAACCTTATTTTTTTTTTTAGATTCCATATATATGTGTTAGCATATGGTATTTGTTTTTCTCTTTCTGACTTACTTCACTCTGTATGACAGACTCTAGGTCCATCCACCTCACTACAAATAACTCAATTTCGTTTCTTTTTATGGCTGAGTAATATTCCATTGTATATATGTGCCACATCTTCTTTATCCATTCATCTGTCGATGGACACTTAGGTTGCTTCCATGTCCTAGCTATTGTAAATAGTGCTGCAATGAACATTGTGGTACATGACTCTTTTTGAATTATGGTTTTCTCAGTGTATATGCCCAGTAGTGGGATGGCTGGGTCGTATGGTAGTTCTATTTTTAGTTTTTGTTTTGAATTTTTGAATTTTATTTTTTTATACAGCAGGTTCTTATTAGTTATCCATTTTATACATATTAGTGTATATATGTCAATCCCAATCTCCCAATTCATCACACTATTTTTAGTTTTTTAAGGAACCTCCATATGGTTCTCCATAGTGGCTGTATCAATTAATATTCCCACCAACAGTGCATGAGGGTTCCCTTTTCTCCACACCCTCTCCAGCATTTATTGTTTGTATATATTTTGATGATGGCCATTCTGACTGGTGCGAGGTGATACCTCATTGTAGTTTTGATTTGCATTTCTCTAATGATTAGTGATGTTAAGCATCCTTTCATTATTCAGCCTATTTTATAAGATTATTGTTTCTTGCATTACTAAATGTGTGACTGAACCTCTGATAAAAATAATTATGACTAGACAACTTAAAACAATTGACCAAATATATAGTTCTACAATAAGATCAATGACTGTAATAGTGTAACTCTAGATATGGAAAGAGGCAACAAGAAGGAATCAGTTCCTGGACCATAGCAGACTAGTAAGACAGGCGGTCCAGAGACTTTGGTTACTGCTAACAGGGCCTAGTCCAGTAACAGCACACTGAGTGGCCTATCAACAAAATCCTCGCTTGAACTGGGAATGAGCATTCCTAGCACTGTGGGACAAATTGGTCACGAAATGCCTCTCAAACCTTGGTCAAAATCATGACCAAAAAGGAGGGGATTATAAAATAAAGATATTGCCCACTATCCAGTTCTATAAGAATCAAGTCATTAGGCACTGCAGTCACGGACCTACAATACACCCTGAAAGGAATTCAGGGTAAAGATCAGGATGAGGCACTTTGTTCTCTGGGAAAACTAGCTGAACCAGCCCTCATAGTTAGATATTTTCAGGAGAAAATTTTATAAGCCCAGTTTTTTGCATCTTCCCAAACTTAGAAAAGCACTAAAAACATTAACTAAGATATCTATTCCTTGCTATAGCAGTAACCTTCTACCGAGATGTGTACTTGATTGCACTATATACTGGCCTCCCACCTTACCTCTTTGGAACAGTCCTCAGAGCTTTCTTAAAGACTGTTCTTGGAATATAATCTTGAGGTTGGGTCAAGTAAAATTTTCCATTTCTTTCTTACACTGACTATTAATTTTTTCATCAATAAAACAAAAGATAGGAAAAAAACACAAACATACAAAAACCCTCACTCTGATTAAACTTAATTCTAGTGCCAAATATATGGAAATAATACACATGAAAACAGTAATTAAAAATGCAGAACACATAATAGTATACACAGATTATAAACTGCTATATAAAATATATATGTGCATTGACTGATGCGATTTAAAAGCAATAGTGCTTAATATTCATTTGATCATTTTTATTAAATAGACTTAATAAATAATTGCATTAAATTTTTTAAATTGTGAAGTGCTAAAAATGTTTTCCATTCTAGCTGGGAACATCCAACAACTCATTTCAGTAATTATTTATTAAAGACTATTACTTATTATTAATAATTTATTCTAATATTAAAATAGCAGTTGTTTCTGATCTAACGGAGGGACCAGGCAAGGTACCAGGTACAGCGTAATACATGCCATGATAGGGAGAAAGAGAAGAGGCCTTAATCTCATGTGCCTCTATTCACCAAAGGAGATAAGCAATAAGTTTACATATAAGGAAACAATGAAACATTCCCTACAGTGGCCAGTGCACCAACAGAAGAACTTATAAACTACACGTGAGAAATCTACAGTCTATTAGGACAATCCTCTATGTCTGCATTTGATTGAAATGGGCTCAGATTTTAAGTGAAATTAAATCATTAAAAAAAAAAGCAAATGTTTTGATAATGTGTGCTTTCCTCTTATTTCAGACTTTTCCAGAAGTCAGTGGGTTTTGGGGTACATCCATTGGTAAGATACTCTCCATGGGCATTGCTTGATGAGTCTGACATTTGAACATGGCAAGCATTGCCCTCCGGAACCTACAATAAAAGAGGGAAAATCTGGCATTACCCATGAGGACCTGGCACTTTTAGAGTACTCTCAAACATGGCTATGATGCCACTACTACCAACTGGCATCTCCAGATAAATTTCTGCTTCCAGCTTTAACATCTGCTGTTGAGACCCTTGGTCAATGTATCAAGCGTATGACACAGTTAAAGACCACTTGTGCACCACTGACTATTAACATTGAAGACACTTAATAAAAACCACTAATTATGTCTAAGAGGGTGCATCTAACGTCATTTGCAAGGAATTATTTACTTGAACTAAGGATGTGTATTTCATGCATTTGTTCTTCTGAGCAAAGGCCAGTTTCAATTAAGAGGAGCTTGAGAATGCCTGACCTTTCCTAAAGAACTACCAAGAGACTCTGAATTTAAAATGTGTTCTTTATGCTTCTTATGCAGTCCGCTTCTTAAAAGTTTTTATGTTTCTTCATATATCTGTGGCTAAAGTTGCTTTCCTAACGTGCATAAATACATAAGTGTGGTAGAAGCAGCACTGGCATTCCAGGATCAAATTACTTCACCTCTACTGAGATTTTTCTGGTCAAATATTTAAGCACAGTAGATTGGTTCATCCCAATCTACTGTAGATTGGTTCATCTACTGTTACATCTTTAAGCAGTAACAGGAAATGAAGCAGTGTAAGCTTCACTGATGAGGCAGGAAAGAAATCCTTGCTCAGAGGCTCAACAAAGGGGGGAAGGGGAAGATTCTCAACTATTCTGAGTGACTACACACTCCTGAAGCCCTTTATGTTAGCACTGAATTTTTCCTTGCATTTGAATGATATGTCTTCCTCCTAGTAAATATACAACTATGCTACCCACTTAGGGAGTCCAACTGGCCTTGCTTTGTCCATTTTCCAGTAATAGAACTACTCTCTTCTTTGCAAAACCAATTCCATGTATTTTAAATGGGGTAACCATGTGATCCAAGCTGAGCTCACCATTGACCATCCAGGGCCACTTCTGCCAGAAAGCCATGTGAGACGAAATTCACATTTGGGGATGCTTAGCTTGTGGAACTTGGGTCTTGAGTTACCCGTGATTATCTCGCCTCTGTGTAGGAAGAGCCTGTCACAGAACTGGAGCCCTAGACATTTAAGGTCCTAAATGCTTCTCAAGTTGCATGAACCAAATAACTTTTACATTCATCTGAAGTGAGTTTCTGTCACTTACCTTCCCAAAAGTTTTAGAACATTATCCATTGCCTTTTTAACATTCTTTCTGTATACTTTTTTTAGTTGAGAACCATTTTAGACATAACTTACTTTTTATTAGCAATCACATAAATACAGGGATTGTAGAATGTAGAAGATTTTGCAAACAGTGGAGCTAGGATGGCCACTGAGGGAGGAATCTTCTTCGGGTCACCAAAAGAAGCCCATAAGCACACGATGGAATAAGGGGACCATGCCACCAGAAACATGAGTATCATTATCACAGACATCTGTAAAAGAAATCAATATTCGCCAAACCCAATATCTAAAATATCAAAATAACTAATATACCTTAAACTGCATGAAAAATTATCTGGATTGGAACTTGAATAAATTTATGTTTTTGAAGACACAGAGGAAAAACTGAATTTTTCCCCTCATACTTTGCTAATGTGCCTGAGGTCATCTATGATAACAAGAGCTTGTGAAATGGACAGACTGGTGCACGAATGTAAAGAATGCCGGCTTTCTTTTGGTGAGCTGGGGAGAATACAAAAGCTGGCCTGGATGACAGGCAGAAGGACCCACTCCTGGCCCACTTGGAGTAACTGTGCTAGGGACTGCTGGTGTTGCGCTTTCTTTTCCTCACTCTCATCTGCTAATCTAGAAAACAACTTTCTAACTCTCTAAACTCAATGTGAAAAAAAAAAAAGTCCTCTATTGAGTTCAGGGAATTCTCATACAGGCCATTTGAGCTTGGTATATAATAAATCACATATAATACGTACAGTGCAGATAATTTTGTAAAGGAGCTATCCTTATATTTTGTTTGAATGAAAAATTATAATTACATTGCTCCCTCCTGATTGCCCATTAAAAAGACAGAAAAGGTTTAAAAAGACATAAACACATAAGGTCTGAGAACCACAGATTAGACAGCTCTGTAAAAGTTAAAATTGAATAACCATTAGACAAGTGGCATATTACTTATCAGACTTGAGAATGATTTAAAAAAAAATTTTTTTTTAATTTTAAAGAGCCAGGAATGAGGGAAAATCAGGTACAGGTGAATCCACTCCACAGAACTACAGAAAGCCTCAGGAATTGGAGATGACAGTTCTGAATGTGGGGCTGCACTTGGAACCTAAAACACAAAAACTCATTAAAATCTGCAAAAAGAAGCAGTTAGACTTCTGAATCCCCTCTCTGTTCAGCTAGGAAACAGCCCCCTCTCCCCAGAAGAACCCCAAGGGTCAGTGTAAGAGAGGGTAAAGCAGGGAAACTTGAGACTGGGGGACACCGGGCTCAGCTGAGAGCTGGCGTACTGTCCTGAAAAGAGGGGGGCTGCACGCTGTCCCTTCCCTGCACTGAGCCATGAGAATGTGGGTACACAGACTTTTATCTCCTACCCAGAAAGGCGAAAGAATCTTCTCGCCTTGGAAACTGACCAGCCCAGAAGAAAATACCCAGAGGTACAGATCATTAGAAACCCCCCTCTCCAAAGACATATCCCAGTGAAAGAGCACAGCGAGAGCTCACAATCAACTTTTTAGCGCATCACTCTTAAATATGCAGGGACAGTCACTGATCACCAGACATTGAGGAAACACGCAAACTGACAGGCAGAGACCAAAACAGTGCAGGAACTCGGGGGAAAAAAAATATGTGATGAACAGAAGGAAAATGTAAATATATACACAATATCATCACAGAAATGAGAGAAGATACACATGCATTAAACAAGAAGAGGACACTATCAAAAAGAAGTACAGAGTATAAAATAATGCTTCCATCTCATCTATAAAAGTGAAAGCAGAATTTTAAAAATGCAACAGGAAGGTTGAAATGTATGGTCAGCCAGGGTAAGGGTGAGGTAAATAAGGTGAACTGTGCAAGTGCAGGGTCAGATCCTGTCTTTATTTAATATTTTATATTTTGTTCAATGTGGATTTTCTACATAAATTTTGATTTTTTAAAATACTGCACTAACTACTTGATTTTTTGATTACTGAGCTTTTAGGCACCTGCTTAAATTTTGCACCCCAGGCTTGAGCCTCACTCTCCTCACCCAATCCCAGTCCTGGACATGGTTGCAGAAATCTCTCAGAAAGTAGAAACAGGGACTTCCCTGGCGGTCCAGTGGTTAAGACTTCGCCTTCTAATGCAGGGGGTGTGGGTTCGATCGCTATTTGGTGAGCTAAGATCCCACAGGCCTCCCGGCCAAAAAACCAAAACATAAAACAGGAGGAATATTGTAACAAATTCAATAAAGACTTCAAAAATGGTCCACATCAAAAAAAAATTTTTAAAAAAGAAGAAAGTAGGAACAAAAACAAACAGGGGACTTCCCTGGTGGTGCAGTGGTTAAGAATCCGCCTGCCAATGCATGGGACATGGGTTCAAGCCCTGCTCTGAGAAGATCCCACATACCCCAGAGCAACTTAGCCCGTGCACCACAACTACTGAAGCCCGCACACCTAGAGCCCATGCTCCGCAACAAGAGAAGCCACTGCAATGAGAAGCCCGCACACCACAACAAAGAGTAACCCCTGCTCACCGCAACTAGAGAAAGCCCACGCTCAACAATGAAGACCCAACACAGCCAAAAATAAATAAATAAAAACAAAACAAAAAACAGAAATAATGCAGGAGAGAATATTTAAGAAAATTAAAAGACAAATCCAGGAGATTAAATACTCAAATAAAAAGAGTTCCAGAAAAAGAGAACAGAGAAAACAAAATGGGAGGTGAAACTCACCAGGGAAATAATACAAGGAAACTCCCAGAAGGGAAGACCTGAGTCTCCACATAGAAAGCGTTCACCCAGTACCCAGCACGTGGGTGAATAAAGAGCCACACCAAGGCATATCGGCGTGACATTTCAGAAAACTGGAGACACAGAGAAAATCACAAGCTTCCAGAGAGAACGCAGATCACTGGAATGCTGTCAGCCTTCTCAATAGTGACACCTGAAGCCGAGAGACTACATAGAGTAATGTCTTCAAAATTCTTTGAAAGTCATTTTTCTACTTAGAATTCCGTACCAAGCAAACAATCGGTCAAACATAATCGTAGAATTAAGACATTTTCAGGCACGCAAAATCTTAAACATTTGACTTCCTTGTAACCTTCTCAAGACTCTATTAGAGAATGTGTTACACCAAATGTGAAGGAGTTAACCAAAAAAAAAAAGGAAGACATACAATTCAGAAAACGGGTGATCTGACCTATGAGATAGGCCAAAGGCATTCCCAGCTGGTGACAAAGGAGATGTGGCTGGCTTCCTAGGTAGTCATCCTAAAGAACAGCCAGTGTAGACTAGGGCAAGAGATCTGGCGGGTGTCAGGAGGGTAGCGCCAAGAAAAGGATGAAGTCGACCTAGTCTCTGATGTATCTGAAAATACTAAGAGGAGACTGAAGCCTCTGGTGGAGAGTTTAGAGATGAATTAGTGACAGGTACACAGAAGAGTCAGCAAACAAAGCTACAGAGAGAGAGAGAGAGGGAGAGAAGAGAAGGGGAGAGAGATGAACGGAGGAAGAGAAAGAGAAAAGGAATGAACTGTTAACTCCAAAGGGGAAAAAATTGTATAAAAGAAGAAATATAAATCAGAGTCTTACAGAGATTTTCAATAAATAAAATTTAGATAATCACAATAATGTAAAATTGGCTCTTCATCTAACCAAATATTAACATTTTACTGATAAGATGAGAGATAAACGCTGGTGGGGAGGAGTAGGAAAGGTTGGTGGTATAAGAAAAATTTTCTTTGTCTATAGTAGGAAATCAAGAAGTAACAGCAAAGAAAAATAACTAAAACAGGGCTCCCCTGGTGGCGCAGTGGTTAAGAATCCGTCTGCCAATGCAGGGGACACGGGTTCGAGCCCTGGTCCGGGAAGATCCCACATGCCATGGAGCAACTAAGCCCGTGCGCCACAACTACTGAGCCCGCACGCCTAGAGCTCATGCCTCGCAACAAGAGAAGCCACTGCAATAAGGAGCCCGTGCAACGCAATGAAGAGTAGCCCCTGCTCGCCACAACTAGAGAAAGCCCACGTGCAGCAACAAAGACCCAACGCAGCCAAAAATAAATAAATAAATAAATTTATTTAAAAAATAAAAAAATTACCCAAAACAGCAGATAAGCACATCATTTAGAAATACGGAGGCCAACACCAGAAAAAAGAGCCAGAGAGTAAGAATCGGGAGTTGGGGAGAGATGACTGCAGGGGCCAAGGAACCATGTCCATGTAAAAGCTTGATTACAAAACCCTTTTAAGGATTTTAATGTCTTACCTTTGTTACATCTACCTGATCTGACCAATCTCTGTTGAGATACTCAGTGCAGTTACTAGTAGCATGATGTTTAATGGATTGAGTGACATGGTAATAGCAGTAAAACATCATTATCAAGGGCACAATAAAATTTATCGCAACAACCATCATGGTGTAAGAAACAAAAGATCTGAAAGTAAGAAAAGGAAATAATTAAATCATGACATTAAATCACTACTCATTTAATATACTAAATAGAGTAAGGGAAACAGGATAATTATCAGAAATAATACTGGCACTGTCCAGCAGTCATTATATTATTAAATAGCTTAGGAAGTGCATTTGACTTTGAGTTCATTTGGACTAGGGGTTGGCAAACTATGACCTGTGGGCCAAATCCAGCCTGTCGCCTGTCTTTGTAAATAAAATTTTATTGGAACCACATTCATCACATACAGTCTAGGGCTGCTATCACAGGCAGAGCTGAATAGTTGCAATGGAGACAGTCTTGCCTGTAAAGCCTAAAATACTTATTTTTTGACCTTGCACTAAATCTAAAAAGTTTTAGATTTAGTTTGAGAGTTAGAAATTTTCTATTTGCTTTTCTTCATAATCTTTCATTTCCTTTAATAAACTAAATTACCCCCTTTTCCCTGGTAAATATAGGAAAGCATCACTGATGAGCAAGCAAATCCTTGCAGTGACTGTGCTTTTGCTGCATAATTCTCAGGAGATGCTTTATTACCAGATCATCTAGAAAAGAAAGCCTGGACTTTTGCCAGATCTGCACACTGTCTAGCTCCACTAACACTCCTTTTCCCCATCAGGTCCTACCTCTAAGGTGCGGATATTGGAAGGATTCTCTGTTTTGCCTTTGCTGCCAGAAGATAGAGGAAGGAACAGAGCAGGGGACAAGGGGAGCTGGATGGCCTTTCCTTGAAAATAAGCATAATTCACTTTTCTCAATTCATCTCTGCTGTAATCATATCATCTATACCAAGGAAGATCTTTGTCATCTCTGCATGAGAAACATTTGATCTGACCTTAAATTGAAATGGTGAGAAAATGTCTACACTAGAAGCATTTGATTATAAAGTGTAAACATGTCTCTTACACATCATTTTTCCGCCAGTTTATGGTACAGGTGGCCCCAGTAGGATCTGGGGCATAACTAGCCCACCCAACAATAGGCATCAAAGCCCAAAAGAGGCCATTGAACCAGGCCCCCAGAATCATGCTGATGTAAGTGTTGGTGGTCATTCTTCTTCCTATTAACAAACATATGGAACATCAAAGTCATTTCCCAATGATGTGATTCATATCTTCATTTTGTTTTAACTGATTATTCAAAGTTGTCATCAAATAGATTCTTCACAGAGCACTTTAGTTCACACAAAGCCTATCTACATGAATCACATTCTGAAAAAAAAAATGACATTTAAGCTGAAACCTGAATGATAAAATGATCAGTCAGAGGATAGAAATGGAGAAACACTAGGGAAATAGCATTTACAAAGACCCCAAAGTGGGAAAGGGTTTGGCTAGTACCCCAAAGTGAGAGGACCCCAGAACACACTGGAAAGGTAGCCCGGGGCCAGAATGTGTGGGACCTTGGAGGCTGTGTTATGAAATTTGGGTTTTATTCTAGGTATAATAGAAAATCACTGAAACTTTCAGTCAAGGATTATCAGAGAAATATGACTGACTGTGTTGCAAGCCATACATTTACATTTTGAAGTGAATGTGTATCGAGCAGTACTTAGGCAAAAATGGGTTCACTGAGAAAGCTGAGAAAAGTGCTGTACCTGCATCAGGACAGCAGATGGTCAGGTATCGATCCACAGCCACAACTGTGAGCAATCCAATACTTGCCATTCCAAAAAAGATATTCAATCCAGCATAAATCTGAAGATTAAAATTGGAAAGATTCCACCATTCTACACATCCTCCCAAGAGACATTTACACTTTTATCCCATTGCTAAAATATATTTTAAATACACTGAGAGTTTTTTATTTTACTAATTTTAAAATATATCATCTATTGTCAAATTATAAGTGGTTTAATAAAGGCATTTATAGAAAATGTTTTGAGACTTCATTAATTAAAATAAACTTTTTAAAAAATGTTAAGGCTTAAAGTAAAACTTCTATACATACTCTGTGGAGTGCAAAAACAAACCATAAATTAAGTGCAATGCATATAACCAACAAAAGACTGCTATTCAGAAGACAGACAATTCAACAGGCTGAAAAGACAAACAGAAAAATGGGCTATTAACACAAGAGGAAACCTGCATGTTTATGACATAAGATGTACAATCACATTAAATCTTGAAAGAAATGCAAATTATAAGATACTATTTTATATCCATCAAAATGCTACAAATTCCAAGTCTGACAACCCCAAGTGTTGGAGAAAATGTAGAGTAACAGAAGTTCTAGCAACTGGCACAACCATTTTGGAGAGAAACTTGTCCACATCTGATAAAACTGAAGGTAAACATTATCTACAACCGAACCATTCCTTTCCTAGTAATGTATCTAAACTCTCACACATTGCAGAAAAAGACATGTATGAGAACAATTTATTGAAGCCTTGTTTGTGGTTTAAAAAAATTGGAAACAGGGAATTCTCTGGCAGTCCAGTGGTTAGGACTCGGTGCTTTCACTGATGGGGCCTGGGTTCCATCCCTGGTCGGGGAACTAAGATCCCACAAGCCAAGCCACATGGGGCAGCCAAAGAAAAAAAGAAAAAAATTTAAAAAACCCCAAACAACCTGAAGCACATATTGCAAAACATTAAGGTTTGACAAAACTGGTTAGCGTACACATGGGTATTCCCTACTCTCTACTCTTTTCATTTTATTCTCTATAGTTTTAGAGCTTAAAATAGCTAACTGTTTTAAAAAATTAGGCCAAAAGTCATTAATGCAAATTAATATTAATTTATTTTCTTGTCAGTAAAACTCATTGTAGATATATTCACCAGCAATTCTCTTGGAGAACTTTCCATAGAAAAAAATCAGCAACATGTTGTTTAACTACATTACTTAGATATTATGACACAGTCATTATTTTATTGTTTCAAATGAAAGCAGAGTATTTCTTTTTGAATTTGTAATATGCAAGTTTTTATTTGAATATGAAAATGTTCACTTTTCTTCTCTAGTTGACTGCTAATTTTTTGTTAGTTTAGTTTTTTCCTTTGAGTTGGGGAAATTTTGAAAATATAATGATGGCGACTGATTTCATTTCTCTTATTAAAGAATATATTTCCCAGTCACTCCTGAAGCCATTTTTATTAAGAGCACCATATCTATTATCCTACATAATCTTATTTGATTGAAACCCTTGGGATTTTTTAAAGACATTTAAATGTACATTTTCTTAATCTACTTTATTTTGCTTTGATTCTAAAGATCTCCAATACCTGACATCCTGCATATCCAAACTTCCAACTTCCATGCAGATCTGAAGCAGCAGACATGGGGTAGCCAATGCTACTGACCCCTATATCAGTAACAGCCAAGTTAATGATAATTGCATTTGTGGGTGTCCGAAGCTCCTTGTACTTAATGAAGATGCCAAGAACTATTATGTTGCTGAGAACACTTATCATACCTGAGAACATAAACAAAAAAATCACACATTTTGTTTGATTTGAATGTGTAAAAGTAGAATCAAATTAAATATTTAAGCTCCTTCAAAAATATAGCAAATCCATTTTGGTTCATTTATTTGAAGAGCTTCAGCTATTCTTCAAGCTAGTTGTAATATCTTCACAGCCCTTTTGTAAAACAGAAATATAAAAATTAAAGCACAAAGAATCTACCAGTTGCATAAACCAGCACTAAAGACTGGTGTTAATGTCATCACTATTGATCACTCTGTCCTTGATGTTATTCCCTTGCATGTCATGATACCACCACCACTGATTTTTAGGATATACATATGATCATACAATCTCCTTTGGCAGCTTAATTTTCTCATCCTCCTTCCTGAAGCCTGAGGCTCTCCTTTCTCTATAGTTTCTCAAGCCTCAGCTATCATTCTATCCTAACAGTGCTTCTGTCACTTTCCATCCCTGAAATATGTTCCAGTCCCGCATCCCTTTTCATACAATTCATTGCCATTAAACATTTATTAAGCATCTACAGTATGTAAGATCATATGACTGTTTCAATATCACTTGAAACTCAACATGTTCAAATCTAAATTCTTTATTACACACACACACACACACCCCTATAGAAGAATGCACACTGCAAGGTTTGGCTATCCAGAGAGGAAGTCGGACTGGCTTTCAGGTCCACTGAGAAGCCTCACAGGCCATATCACCCTAGTCAAGTCTCCACAGCCTGGGATCTGACTTCTAGACCTGCAGGTCCAGAAACTCAATGTTGTCGGTGCTCCAGAATTGGGGATTCAGGTGGACTGATGACTGAACTTCTTAATCTGAATGCCAGTGTTTTCATTTACAACAAGAAATATTGTTGAGTGGACTGGATGTGCATGTCAGCCTGTTTAACACTCCCTACATGCAACAAAGGATGCACACATTTCCCATAAGCCAGATGTGGGCCATATTAGGTTCTAACAGCTGAGAGGCTAGAGCTATTACCAGATTCCTGGGGGAAAAGGAGGGGTAAGGAACAAAAAGCATAGAATGGTGTTCACCATCATGAAGAGAACTCTGGTGATCAGCTCCAGCTATTGCCAGAGAGAGGGAAGGTTTCCAAGCACCAACACCCAAATGTATCAGCTAAGGAAGAACTTCTATTATATCTTGGCACCTTGGTCAAAACTTCCATTCAAAATCCTGTTATACTAATCTTCCAGATTCCTGTTCTTTCCTCCTGCATGCTGCTGGCAGAATAAACTTTCTACAACATAGAATTAACCAAGGCTCTTCTCAAAACCTCCAACACACCCCAACGTCTGCGTGATAAAGTCCACATGTCCCAGCCTGGTATTCCAGGCTCTTTGCCTCAATCTGTTTTTACCCTCTCTAAGCAAATTTTCACACTTGTCAAACAAGCCCTCCATCTAATTATTTATCAAATGCACCAGGCTTGTGGTAAATTTCGACTTTCATTTCTCCCACTTGGAACACCCTACTCCTTTCCTCTACCTTTCCAAATGCTACCCTTCAAAATTCTGTTCAAGGCCAATTCTGCCCCAAAGACTTGTCCTCTGCATAGTATCCTCTCTTCTCTAAATTCTCAAAGTACTTGTTTATATTGTACTTTACCTTATGTGATGCTATATTACTTAATTCATATATGCCTAGTCTTCCTGTGTAGATTTTAGGCTTCTAATCATTTCTATGTTGTATATATGATATATAGCAGATTTATTTAATAAACGGACAACTAAAACTCATATTGCTTAAGGTCTATTATTCCTGCAAGCATAATTAAGGCACAATGATATCAAATTTGATGATTCTTTGGCTCAATATTTTTGCATCTAGTATTGTAGCTCCAAAAAGTTTAGTGAATTGAAGAGTCTTTCTGGGCTAGTTACAGATTTGATGATTTTTAAGTCAGATAAAAACACAGTGCAGTAAATTGTTGCCTGCCAAATATGCAACCAGAATAAAGTAATTGTGCTTTGGGGGCGGTTTTAGATACAACAGGGAGAATGAGGTAAACAATTTAGCCCTTTTTCTATTTTCTCTGCAGCTGTCTCAAGCACTCTACTTTATTTCCTATCTGTAGGTGTTTTCTAATGAGTAGACAATAGATCATTTAGTAGTTAGGTCTATGTTCAGTTAATTTCCCCTTGGCTTCTGTGGCTCTCCTCCAATCTCTTTGGCAGATCCTGCTTAATCTACTTCCTGGCCTTTCTTTCTTCATCTCTACCTTATTAAATATATGCATTGTCCAAGTTTCTGTCCTGGACCTTCTTTCTTTTCACATTCAATATACACTCAGTGATTTCACACAGATCCAAGGCTATATGCTGTTACTTTCCAGATCAGTCTCATAAAATTCAAACTCATGTGCGCAGCTTTTTACGGGACTTCTCTCAAACGGAACCCAGAGATTTTCTCTCTTGACCCAAACATGTTCTTCCCCAGATGTGCTCCCATCTTGATGAATAGCTTCACCATCTATCCAGTGGCCCAAAAGAGAAACCTAGATGTCATCTTTGATGCTCCCTCACCTTCTCCCCCAGTCTCCACATCCAACCATCAACTCTAGCTTCTAGCTCTTGAATGTGTCTATCTCCAATGCTACTACTTCCTCCTCAGAAGTCTTTTAAATCTTAATCACACAGGGGCCACCTACCTGGTCTCTTAGCTACCACTACAGCACATTTCTAAAATACAAACTGGATCATGTCATTCAGTGATTCCCCTATCGCCTTTACGGCTTAGGTCTTTCATTAGCTGGTACACAGCCATCCTCTCAGTCTAGTACCTCTCACGCTTCATCCTACAGTTCACCCGTAATGAATCTATTTCAGATCCTTAATTCGCCATGCCCTCTTGCTCCCCAGCATTAACTGGAGAAAGGGAGAGTGCTCAAGTTGGTAACGTTTGTAAGAGCTACAATCTGAGAGAAATGTTAAATTAAAAATTAAATTTAAAATGAAAAATCTAAATACGCTCTTGGTAAAAGTAACAAATGAAATAAATGCTTTGACTAAATTCTTTTCCTCACGGTTTTGGTTTTGATTTGGACATTTAAGTGAGTTTTGTTAAAGGGAAAGATTGGGGGGCCCAAAGAACAATAAACGTTTGAAAAAAAGCATAAAGAAGTTAGATATGCTCCCTTCAGTTCATCTACTAAAAACACAAACAAACAACACGTACTCATAATATTGATAAAACTGATCCTTGTGATTATACCTGAGGGTTCTAGAGTCAAAACACCTGAGTTCAAATCCTGGCGTAGCTACTTAGTAGATGTGTGTGTTGGGAAAGTTATTTAGACTCTTTATTTGTAAACAGGGAAAATAAAATTTGCTTACTGAATTAGCATAAGGATGAATTATTCTGTACATGTAAATATTTACAACAGTGCTTGGTATATACCAAGTATTCCAATAATAACATTAGTAGTGGTAGCAGTAGTAGTAGTGGTGGTGGTAGTGGTTGGAGTAGTAGTAGCAGTAGTAATAGTAATTCTAGTAGAAGTCATCATTGTCATCATAGTAAGATTACTATTACTATTACTGTTACAGGGGTAAGAACCAGCAAGAATATTTTCTTAACAGGAAAATTTCTTTGCATGCTTCTTTTGTAACCAGATCAAAAAAGATAGCTTTTCTTGGTCATCTACCAAAAACTAACTAAACCAAAAGTTTGTATACAAAGTACTTCTATGTAATTGTGATAAGGAGCTTATCTCTTTAAGTAGCATATTGTTTTCTCCTTTCTGTTGCAACATCAAAAAAAAATTCAAAAAGAAAACAGAACTTATCCAGTGCGTATCATACAGAGGTATTCAAATGAAAAAGTTGGCTGAGGAACCACATTTTCTACCAGAAGTAATACTCTGAATTATGGGGAAACTAAGCAATTATAAAGAATAAACTGGGTACAGTAGGATTTGTTATGTTTTTACTCTACTTTTGAATATACTTGAAAATTTTCATAAGTCAATCCAAAAAATAATAAACAGTTACTTCTAAAACTCATTACTAAGCATAAGTTGAAAATGAAGTGACTAAGCATAAAATTAATACCACAATTCAACCTATACATAAAAAAGGTAATCAGAGAACTTCTATTGTCAATTTCCCCATTCCTTTTTTTCAGCCAACAAGTCTTTATCTTAATCCAATATATGCATCAATGAGTGTGTGTATGTGGGAAGAAAGAAACATTTGTCCAACATATACTGTATATATCACTTAGGTATATTTGTGCATTATTTAATTTTACTCTTCAAAACAATTGTGACAGTAGCTTATTCTTATCCCCATTTTACAGATATGAAAATGGAAGAACAAAAAACTTGCTCACTGTTACAAAGATACTAAAAATTGAAAACCAAAGCTCAGTTTTCCAATACAGCATTCGAAAATGAGCTCAATTTACAAACTCCGTCCTCAGTGACAATACACTCTGCTCTCTCTTTTTATGACTTTAATTTTCTTTCCAGGATCTTTCGATCTTAACTAGATTCCACCACCAAGGACAAAACAACAGAAAGTATGTATGAGAATAGTAAATGCTATAAAAATACATCTTTGCCATGGTGCACACTACTCCCCAATAAAAACTTAATTTGACAATGTAATAACCAAACATATGGATAATCACTCATTTTATAAAAAACTTTTCTCAGCCCCATTTCACGGCTCTCACTGCCTATCAAAATTCAAAATAACTTGTTATATTAACCACCATTAACAATGTTTCCATTTATTTTCACCTACATTCTCTTTTTGATCCTTACAGCCAGGAAGTAGAGCAAGTATTATCATCCTTATTTATCACATGAGCACCCCAGCTGAGAAAGGATACGTGACTTCTCAAGGTTGGCCAACAATATAGAACTTGAAACATTATCTCTGAACCCATGCTTTTTCTACTACCTTATGCTGAAAACCTCTGCTTTTCTTCACTTATTCAAAAACAAAATAACTATTAATGGAATAAACATCCATACCTGCCGTAATCAAGTAAGCTGCAACAATATTGTGTTCAGTCTGTGAAAAGGTCGAGCCGTCTTCATTCTTTGAGTCTGAACTGTTGCCTAAATTATTCCTTAGCATTTTGGAGGGAAGATATCAAGATAGCCTTCATAATGGGCCTTCAATATCTATGAAATGTTTCAAAAGCCACCTAGGGAAGAATTTTCAGAACCAATCATTTCCACTTAAAGACCTCAAAGAAGGGCCTTTTCATAGAGGCCCTCCCTTAACAAATTTAATTGGGCTAAAGAGGAAAGGATTTTTAATTCCCAGAACAAGGGAAAAGCTTATTAGCAAAATAAAGAGAAATAACGAGCAACACACATTTTAACCAATTAGGGCATCAGCTTTATATCCAAGGAGATTATCAAGTGCACACATCCCATTTAAACAATAAACAAACTCAGAAAATCAGATCAGGACCTGACCTAACTGATTTCTGCAGGAAATCAGTTTCAAAATTAAGAGCCAGACTTACTGCTCTAAAACGATTCAGATTAAGGTCCCTGTTTTCTGTTTGACCCTTTCAAGTTTTCCATTTCAATTCCTTTTGTTTTTTCCATAACAATTTAAATCATTAGAGTTAAGTAAAGAAGTAATCTCCCCCATCCTTCCAAATTTTACTCCCCTAATGGTAATAATATTGTTCGGTGTATATTCTGCTTTTCTTTGCTTACAGAAACATGTATTTATACAACTGTTTGAGGTTTCTTCCACTTTTTTTTTCATTCTTTTCAAAAAATGGGGAGCTATGTATATATAAAATCATTCTGTAATTTGTTTTCCCCGAAAGCCATACCATAAATTCCAGGTCAATAAAGCATGAATATAGCATGATCTACTTTACAATTCACTTCAGTTCATTTACCCTACACTTTCATATGCACAAGTAGTTAATCTGGTAATAATCATAGCATGCACCAGCAAAGTATCTAGATTCAATAATTCATCTTGTAAAGTACTGGGCAATTCTAATATTCTGGATTATATTGTTATAACTCCAAAAGTGGGTAACATAAGTGGGTGACAATCTAATATGAACATTTATTGTTAGAATAATATATCCCTATACCTTTTTTCCTCATATTCTTTATGCCATGTAATATAAAAATCTTATTCTTCTCAATACTGAATTTCTAAAAATCAGTAACTTTACAGAAATGCTAGATGCACCAAAGTTAACAGTGTAAGCATATAATAGAACCACTAGAGGGCTATATTTACCCACTTAATTTAATTTTATAAATCTTAGAATGGCACAGCAAGAAGGGACTGGATAATGCTTTTGCCTCAATTCTCAGTTATACACATATATAAACTGAAGAAGTTGAAATCAGGTTGGTCGATCTGTCCCAGATCCCATAGCTACTAGTACTCAAATTTTTATAAACATAATGAAATATTTGTAAGTGTATCTATACTAGGAAAGTGAATCTCTTTAGTATTCCAATATCAAAATATTTTCAAATGACCCTAAAGCAATGAACATAGTACCTAAGATGACCTCTCCCTGTTAAAAATCTATGGGTTGTTAGGTTTTAAGTCTCTTTTCTTTTTTTTTTCTTTTTTTGCATTCACCATTCACTCAAAATTTTTTGAGTTTACTTTGGTTCATACTCCCTTCCTTTTCTGTAATGGATTATGTCTAGTTAGTTTTAGTACCCATTTAAACCTTCCAGAAATAATTTTTTCTATTTATAAGAACTGAAGAGGAGAGATTGGTTCAAGATGGCGGAGTAGAAGGATGTGCGCTCACACCCTCTTGTGAGAGCACTGGAATCACAACTAACTGCTGAACGATCATTGACAGGAAGACATTGGAACTCATCAAAAAAGATACCCCACATCCAAATACAAAGGAGAAGCCGCAGTGAGACGGTAGGAGGGGCACAATCACAATCAAATCAAATCCCGTAACTGCTGGGTGGGTGACTCACAAACTGGGGAACACTTATACCACAGAAGTCCACCCACTGGAGTGAAGGTTCAGAGCCCCACGTCAGGCTTCCCAACCTGGGGGTCCAGCAACGGGAGGAGAAATTCCAAGAGAATCATGCTCTGAAGGCTACCAGGATTTGATTGCAGGACTCCGACAGGACTGGGGGAAACAGAGACTCCACTCTTGGAAGGGCACACACAAAACAATGTGCACATCGGGACCCAAGGGAAGGAGCAGTGACCCCAGGGGAGACTGAACCAGACCTACCTGCTAGTGTTGGAGGGTTTCCTGCAGAGGCGGGGGTGGCTGTGGCTCACCGTGGGGACAAGGACACTGGCAGCTGAAGTTCTGGAAGTACTCCTTGGCGTGAGCCCTCCCAGAGTCCGCCATTAGCCCCACCAAAGAGCAGGGTAGGTTCCAGTGCTGGGTCGCCTCAGGCCAAACAACCAACAGGGAGGGAACCCACCCCACTCATCAGCAGAGAAGCAGATTAAAGTTTTCCTGAGCTCTGCACACCAGAGCAACACCCAGCTCTACCCACCACCAATCCCTACCATCAGGAAGCTTGCACAAGCCTCTTAAGTAGCCTCATCCACCAGAGGGCAGAGAGCAGAAGCAAGAAGAACTACAATCCTGCAGCCTGTGGAAGGAAAACCACATTCACAGAAAGACAGACAAAATGAAAAGGCAGAGGAATTTGTACCAGATGAAGGAACAAGATAAAACCCCAGAAAAACAAATAAATGGAGATAGGCAACCTTCCAGAAAAAGAATTCAGAATAATGATAGTGAAGATGATCCAGGACCTCAGAAAAAGAATGGAGGCAAAGATCAAGAAGATGGAAGAAATGTTTAACAAAGACCTAGAAGAATTAAAGAACAAACACCTAGAAGAATTAAAGAACAAACAAAGATGAACAATACAAAAACTAAAATGAAAAATACACTAGAAGGAATCAATAGCAGAATAACTGAGTAAAAAAACAACAGATAAGTGACCTGGAAGACAGAATAGTGGAATTCACTGCCACAGAACAGAATAAAGAAAAAAGAATGAGAAGAAATGAAGACAGCCTAAGAGACCTCTGGGACAAGATTAACCACAACAACATTCGCATTATAGGGGTCCCAGAAGAAGGAGAGAGAGAAAGGACCCGAGAAAATATTTGAAGAGATTATAGTTGAAAAATTCCCTAACACAGGAGAGGAAATAGCCACCCAAGTCCAGGAAGTGCAGAGTCCCATACAGGAGAAACACACCAAGACACACAGTAATCAAATTGACAAAAACAAAGAAAAACTACTGAAAGCAACAAGGGAAAAACGACAAACAACATACAAGGGAACTCCCATAAGGTTAACAGCTGATTTCTCAGAGGAAACTCTATAAGCCAGAAGGGAGTGGCATGATATATTTAAAGTGATGAAAGGGAAGAACCTAAAATCAAGATTACTCTACCAAGCAAGGATCTCATTCAGATTCAACAGAGAAATCAAAAGTTTTACAGACAAGCAAAAGCAAAGAGAATTCAGCAGCAACAAAGCAGCTCTACAAATGCTAAAGGAAATTATCTAAGTGGGAAACACAAGAGAAGAAAAGGACCTACAAAAACAAACCCATAACAATTAAGAAAATGGTAATAGGAACATACATATTGATAATTACCTTAAACGTGAATGGATTAAATGCTCCAACCAAAAGACACAGGCTTGCTGAATGGATACAAAAACAAGACCCATATATATGCTGTCTTCAAGAGACCCATTTCAGACCTAGAGACACATACAGACTGAAAGTGAGGCAATGCAAAAAGATACTCCATGCAAATGGAAATCAAAAGAAAGCTGCAGTAGCAATACTCATGTCAGCTAAAATAGACTTTAAAATAAAGAATGTTACAAGAGACAAGGAAGGCCACTGCATAATGATCAAGGGATCAATCCAAGAAGAAGATATAACAATTATAAATATATATGCACCCAACGTAGGAGCACCTCAATACATAAGGCAACTGCTAACAGCTATAAAAGAGGAAATTGACAGTAACACAATAATAGTGGGGGACTTTAACACCTCACTTACACCAACAGACAAATCATCCAAAATGAAAATACGGAAACAGAAGCTTTAAATGACACAACAGACCAGAGAGATTTAATTGATATTTATAGGACATGCCATCTGAAAACAGCAGATTACACTTTCTTCTCAAGTGCACACGGAACATTCTCCAGGAGAGATCACAGCTTGGGTCACAAATCAAGCCTCGGTAAATTTAAGAAAACTGAAATCATATCAAGTATCTTTTCCGACCACAATACTATGAGATTAGAAATCAATAACGGGGAAAAAAATGTAAAAAACACTAACACATGGAGGCTAAACAATAGGCTACTAAATAACCAAGAGATCACTGAAGAAATCAAAGAGGAAATCAAAAAACACCTAGACACAGATTACAACGAAAACACAACGATCCAAAACCTATGGGATGCATCAAAAGCTGTTCTAAGAGGGAAGTTGTCAGCAATACAAGCCTACCTCAAGAAACAAGAAAAATCTCAAATAAACAATCTAAACTTATGCCTAAAGGCACTAGAGAAAGAAGAAGAAACAAAACCCAAAGTTAGAAGGGAAGAAATCATAAAGATCAGAGCAGAAATAAATGAAATAGAAACAAAGAAAATAATAGCAAAGATCAATAAAACTAAAAGCTGGTTCTTTGAGAAGATAAACAAAATTGATAAACCATTAGCCAGACTCATCAAGAAAAAGAGGGAAAGGACTCAAATCAATAAAATTAGAAATGGAAAAGAAGAAGTTACCACAGACACTGCAGAAATACAAAGCATCCTAAGAGACTACTACAAGCAACTCTATGCCAATAAAATGGACAATCTGGAAGAAATGGACAAATTCTTAGAAAGGTATAACCTTCCAAGTCTGAACCAGGAAGAAGTAGAAAATATGAACAGACCAGTAACAAGCACTGAAATTGAAATTGTGATTTAAAATCTTCCAACAAACAAAAGTCCAGGACCAGATAGCTTCACAGGCAAATTCTATCAAACATTTAGAGAAGAGCTAACACCCATCCTTCTCAAACTCTTCCAAAAAATTGCAGAGGACGGAACACTCCCAAACTCATTCTATGAGGCCACCATCTCCCTGATACCAAAACCAGACAAAGATACTACTAAAAAGGAAAATTACAGACCAATTATCACTGATGAACACAGATGCAAAAATCCTCAACAAAATACAAGCAAACAGAATCCAACAACACATTAAAAGGATCACACAGGCTTCCCTGGTGGCGCAGCGGTTGAGAGTCCGCCTGCCAATGCAAGGGACACAGGTTCGTGCCCTGGTCCAGGAAGATCCCACATGCCGTGGAGTGGCTGGGCCCGTGAGCCATGGCTGCCGAGCCTGCACATCCGGAGCCTGTGCTCCGCAATGGGAAAGGCCACAACACTGAGAGGCCCATGTACCGCAAAAAAAAAAAAAAAAAAAAGGATCATACACCATGATCAAGTGGGATTTATCCCACGGATGCAAGGATTCTTCAATATATGCAAATCAATATGGTATATCAATTATACACCATATTAACAAATAGAAGAAAAACCATATGATCATCTCAATAGATACAGAAAAAGCTTTTGACAAAATTCAACACCCAGTTATGATAAAAACTCTCCAGATAGTGGGCATAGAGGGAACCTACCTCAACATAATAAAAGCCATATACAATAAACCCACAGCAAACATCATTCTCAATGGTCAAAAACTGAAAGCATTTCCTCTAAGATCAGGAACAAGACAAGTATGTCTACTCTCGCCACTATTGTTCAACATAGTTTTGGAAGTCCTAGCCATGGCAATCAGAGAAGAAAAAGAAATAAAAGAAATACAAATTGGAAAAGAAGAAGTGAAACTGTCACTGTTTGCAGATGACATGATACTATACATAGAGAATCCTAAAGATTCCACCAGAAAACTACTAGAGCTAATCAATGCATCTGGTAAAGTTGCAAGATACAAAATTAATACACAGAAACCTCTTGCATTCCTATACACTAATGATGAAAAATCTGAAAGAGAAATTATGGAAACACTCCCATTTACCATTGCAACAAAAAGAATAAAATACCTAGGAATAAACCTACCTAGGGAGACAAAATACCTCTATGCAGAAAACTGTAAGACACTGATGAAAGAAATTAAAGATGATACCAACAGATGGAGATATAGCATGTTCTTGGATTGGAAGAATCAATACTGTGAAGATGACTATACTACCCAAAGCAATCTACAGATTCAATGCAATCCCTATCAAATTACAAACAGCGTGTTTTTTTTACAGAACTAGAACAAAAAAATCTTAAAATTTGTATGGAGACACACAAGACCCCAAATAGCCAAAGCAGTCCTGAGGGAAAAAAACGGAGCTGGAGGAATCAGAGTCCCTGACTTCAGACTGTATTACAAAGCTACAGTAATCAAGACAATATGGTAGGGAAGAGATATGGGAACATACAGATATGTGTAACTGATTCACTTTGTTATAAAGCAGAAACTAACACACCACTGTAAAGCAATTATACCCCAATAAAGATGTTAAAAAAAAAAAAAAAAGACAATATGGTACCGGCACAAAAACAGAAATATAGATCAACGGAACAGGACAGAAACCTGAGATAAACCCACACACCTATGGTCAACTAATCTATGACAAAGGAGGCAAGGATATACAATGGAGAAAAG